ACCGCTGTGGAATCATGTTGTTTTCTATGGCTAAATCTATTTTTAAGGTGTCTGAGCAGTGTTATTACAGGCTTTCCTAATCTATGCTTAGTAATCTGACAGAAGTTGAAAGCAAGATTTTTAGCAATTGCAGATTTTTTCCTCGCTCCCAAAACTTCCACAAATGAGTCAGATCAACAACTGGACAAGCATGTCCATGTAACACATCGATAACTGATATACAAACAAAGCGACACCTCTCTCTGACCCAAGAATTGCATTCCTTAAGTACGTGTCATCCCTGGGTGGCCTGGGAAAGGACCCCTTGCCTTGGAGGTAGCTTTGGAGGCACCTCTTGGGCAGGTCTGTCAGCAGCTAGCACCTTGCCAGTGTCTATATAATAACTATCTGTTGCCTGTAAAGGTCAGGCAGTTGAAATTCTTTTAAGAGACTTAAAAAGGCTGTGAGTATACCAGTATTTCAAAGCAATGATTATCTTGTGAGGAAATGATGCAATGGAAATCCTGATATTGGAACAGCAGGGTCATTTTGGAATGATAGAAAAGCCCAAGTTAGTATGACAAGTTTCTTGTGAAGTGTGCTGTCGTTTTACTACGAAACCCAGAAATTGTGCACATGAACAAAGAGACGAGAAGAGTTTATAGGGGATGATTAGGCTGTTGCTTCACAGCTTAATACCAAAGGCAGAGGGAGAATTCTATCAGTTCTACAGTGAGAATACCTTTTCCTTTTGTAACATTTCTTTTCAATGGCAGTTAAATTGTATATTGGGGTAAATCACCAGTGCCTCAAACTCGGTGTTGGAAAAAAAGTCTTTGATTTGCATCTAAGAGCATTTACCTGTAATGAGAGTGACTGTAACCTTGGTGGGATTTGGAGGGGGTGTGTTGTGTTTTGATGCAAAATGCCGTTGGTACGTTTTACCTCCATAACTGCCTCAGTTAAAGAAGAGCAACCAGCTGTTCCAGGTTTGCCTTTCCTCCTGCTTCCCCCCAGTATGGCAACATTACTTCCATTGCATCAATATTAACACGTGCTATGGGACCGTAACAGAGCTGGTGTTCCTGCTGCGTTTGGGATGTAGATGTTTCCAGATTGGGGTGATAGGAACTTGGGAGAAGTGTACATGTGAGGAAAAACGGTGTCTGCAGAGACATTTAGCCCGTTGAAGACAACTTTGGTACCTTATAGGAGGTACAAGATAATACTTCCACCCCTCTACATCTCAAACTTTAGTTGAACAACTCTGAAATGCAGCGTTCCAAATTATGCTGGATTCCTAGTACACTGAGTGGGAATGGGGAATTGTCCCTAGGGTGTACCCTCTTGAGGGAATTGTTTACATCAAGGGCTCTAGTCCAAGAATGTGACAGAATTTTTCTTCCTTTCTAAAGTGGACTGGCTGTTGATGATGGGTTGATTAAGTGTCTCCTGGAATGGCCCTGCTGAGGTCAAGGGAGCTGGATAGACACGAGGCAGGCTCCATTGGTGCAGGTGATACTCTGCACTCACAAATCTTCTCTGTTCCCTTGAAAGTGGGCACAAGTGTCACTAACAATAGCATCTGTGCAATTTCTCTTAAGTACCTCTGCACAGAAGCATCCTAAAGGTTTTGATCTGGTTTGGTGGAATCGTAGCTGATTCTTGAGCTGCTTGTGTGAAGTGCCTTCCAGCCACTTTTGGTCTCTGCCACTGCTGTCCCTTCTTTGAGCTGCGGAGGTGCCTACTTTTTTCTAGTCAGGCTCGGACTGGAGGACACTTGCCTTTCTGTTCATTGGCCCCACCTTGTTCATGAGTGACATTCTTCTGAGAGGGCATCTCATCTTCCCTCTTTCTCTTGCTGTTAGTCTGAACAACAACTTGTGCACTGCCACAGAAAGATTTTGGTTTTCATGGCTTCCTGGTGCTTGATGTGCCCCTTCTAGCAGTGATAAGGGAGTTTGGACAGCAAGTGTTAAAGGTATAGGTTTATCCTACTGAAAGCTTGAGAAGAGCACCAAGGATTCTGTCGTTAGTCATTATCCAGAGCTTATCCAAGGGTTACAGGTCAGCAGAGATCAATTTGCCTTCTAAATGGGTGTTATGCTGTGTAGTTTGCACGCCTGTTGCACTTTAGGTGAATTTATATGGCCTTACTGGCCCTCAACTGAAAATCTGTAATTCTATATAACCGAGGACTTATCGTTTACTCCTTTCCTGATCTGCAGTTCCCACTTGTTGGGTTTTCTGCCTGTTTGAACAGTTCCTTAAAAGCAAGTTAAAGTTCTTGCTCCCCCTGTGAAAGCACTTAGTAAGATATGCTGACTGTCAGAGGGCTTACGTTGGAATTTAGAGAGTGAAAAGATGTTTTCCTCTCTGCTTGTGCACTGCTTCAGCTGAACTTGTGTTTTTCCTTCCTGTTAGGAAGTGCTGGACCGTGCTCAAAAGCATGGTTATGCAATTGGTACCAAAGAAAACCATCTAATATTTCCTGGACTTCCATGGACTAGTCATGGGAGTTGAAATCCTGGGTTGGTATTTTCAGGAAAGTAGGATTAGTTGGATAAACCAATAAATGGCAAATGTGGAAGTTGTGGTGTTTAATTCTGTATCTTAACACTGACTCTCTGCCTTGGCTTGTTTAACTAGAGAGAAACGTTCCGAGTCCTTGCTAATCCGTGTGACAGTGAGTTTATAGAAGTACTTAATTAAAATTTTATTTTTTATATATAAAAATGGTAAATGGGATGGATAATAATGGTATGTTGTAAAAGCAGGGCAAGTGTTAGCATTCAGACCTCATGGCAGTCACTCCCAAGACAAAGCATGCTTCTAAATAAAAAAAGATGTGATATGATGTTTTTGTCTGATCTATCCATTTAAATGTACAGAAAATATTAAGCATTTGTCACATGCTTTATAAGCTGGTGGTAAAAATCCAAAAGAAAACTTAGACTGTTTTAGGCTCAAAATTTAAAAGTGGAATGAAAGTGCAAAAAGATCACTGAAATGTAAAAAAAATACTAGAAGCAAATGTGTACATATCTTGCATATAAAAAACACAAGCTTCTGAAATCCAGTCTGGAAGCTGTGTAAAGAAAGGGTCTCAGGGTTCCGTTTTTTTGGAGTGGTCAAGAGGTTTGTGGTATTTCCAAGACCAAAACAGCAACTGCTGCTGTTGGGTAACAAAAGTTTGGAATAATAGTTTTGTGTCACAAGTTCTGCAGCAGAGGCTGCTATATGTAAGTGGTGATTCAGTCATTGTACACAGTGATGCAGTTAATGCCAGTGAAACGCTGTTCACTGCCTAACTGTCGGAAGCGCAGAGAGAACGCTGCTTTGGGGCTCCAGTTAATACTGAATTTATCCCTTGGTGTGGCAGCAGTAAGGTGCAGTTTTGTCTGGCCTTTTGTTTGCTGGGTTTTTTTACACTTGATTTCAGACAGCATTTCTTCCGGAGGCTTTGTGTTCAGCTATGGTGCCTAAGAGGAATCTGATCTTTTCTAATCCTTTGGCCATCGCTTCTGAGAAAGCTGAGTTGTGAAATAACAGCCACATACATGTAGCAGAGAGATGGGATAGATGGGGAGGTGGGTTGGCTGGTCAGACAAGTTGTCTGTCCCGTCTGAATCCCAGGCAGAATCCCTCACTGCTGCCCAAAGCTTTGAAGAGAACCAGGTTTCAGAGGAGAGGCAAGCAGGTTGTTCCTCCCTAGGAGAAGGCATTGCCTGGGCAGCGCGGCTGTACCACACACAGATGATTTTGACGCTGGGGAACCTTCCAGCTGAAATGGCCACCTTGCTTAAAGGAAGCAAGTGAAAAGTTGAGGTTGATTTAGGAGCTTGCTACCTATCTGGCAAATTGGAATACTGAATATTAAACTTGTTTGTTCCTGGAGCCTTAAAAGTGGAAAATACGTCTTGAATATCGGTTTATGCTGAAGTTCATGATGCATTGAGCTCTACAACTTTTGGCTAAAATACTTGTTGGATTTGGTTCTGTTTTTTCACGGCTATGACCTTTACATCTCTTCACTTGCAGGTTTTATGGTAGGAATTCTTCTTACGTTCATGGAGGACTGGATGCCAGTGGGAAACCACAAGAAGCAGTGTATGGTCAAGCTGTGAGTATCAAAATCAGTCCTGTAGTCTTCATTAATGTTCAGAACTTACTGTATAAATCAACCTTTTTCTTTACCAATTAGTTTGACTTTCTTATCTGGTAAATAACATATTGTGATACTGCCTCTGCTTTCTCAGACTAACATCTGTCACCATGGGACGTCTGGTCGTGTGGTAGCCACATCTTAGAGCAATATGGCTTTTAGCCCAGGGCAAGTTTGGTTTCTTCTCCTTTCACCAGCACAACCTGATTTGCCAGTACAAAAATTTTGGCAGTGCAGATGTTACTCACTTCTGTGATATTTGGACTCTTGATGGATGCGTAGAGAGGATTGGGGTTTTTTGTTGGAAGGATGGTGTTGGGTTTTTTTTTAAACACAAGGTGAATCCTGTCCCTCTCACAGGCTCTTAAAAAAAAAAGCAAGCCTTAAAGTAGGTCATATGTGCTAATACAACTGGAAAAATTGGATAGCAGGTTGTACGCTATTTGACTGCTCTGGGAAGTATTTGAGTCCTGGTGGAAAACTTCAGAATAAAGGTTAGATGAGCTCAGGTAGACTTCTCAGTGAAAGACACTTCTTGGTTCCTGTATTTACCTTCTGAGCCTCAGTGGGCTGCTTTTTTGTGTTAGTTCAGACTGGGGTATCAGAAAGGTATGAAGCTCTGTACAAAACTCAGTGGAGCTAATATGTAACTCTCTGTTTCTAGGAGATACACAAGAAAGTGATGTCACTACAGTTCAGCGAATGCCACACCAAGATTCGTCATGTGGATGCTCACGCTACTCTGAGCGATGGGGTGGTTGTGCAAGTAATGGGCGAGCTGTCAAACAACGGGCAGCCCATGAGGAAGTTTATGCAGACTTTTGTGCTTGCTCCAGAAGTAAGTACACGTAAGATTGTGTTTAACTTCAAATATTGGTGGTACAAACCTTACTTGTTGCTGCAATTTGTCATATTGGGGCAAAAGATACGATCTGGCTTTTAGAGCTTGGCCTGGAGGCTGTCATTAAATGTTGTCACATTATGTGAGTGCAGAGAAACTAATGTTATGGACTCATCCTGAGCTGTTTTATGTTCTTAGACTTGAAGTATTGGAGCAGTAATACAAGGCAAATTGGAGGTTGCATTTATGAGCTGCCATTGGCACAAATAAATTAAAAAAAAGAAGTTGAGCTCTGCAGATCAAGTCTCTAGTGTAGTTCTGTACTTTCTTCAAGTCTGCTGGTAAAGTTACCGCTCAAATTTAGCTCTTAGCGAGGGCAGAGCTGTGTACAGGTAAAGGGTGTCTTGTGTTCTTTCTACTTCTTTCCTCCCATTTCATCAGAGACTATTGTGTGGTTGATGATTAATGTTTTAGAGTCTTGTTGGATTTCTTTGTTGTTTCCCTATGCCATGCTATAAGCATACAGTCACTCAGGGAAAGTTCATTCAGGTTTTTTTTATTGTAAAGTTTTTTGTAATGGGGAAAGTTCAGATTCCTTGATGAAACTGAGGGACTTTCTTTTTAGGTAGAACCTGTGATTGCTGTGACTTAGCAAAAATGGATTTTTTCTCTGCTTGAAACTTCCTTTTTCTTTTGGGTGGAAGTTACCGCTCAATTGTTTGCTTAGAGAAGAGGTACCACTTGGAAAATGGCTTTAATGAAATAGTCCTATTCCAAAATAGGGTGTGTACCCCAAAGCTTTTATCTCTAATCCATCCTTGGAGTTGACTGGTAATATATTGTATATTCCAAAAAATGCATATTGCTCTTTTACAGGGTTCTGTTCCAAACAAGTTCTATGTCCATAATGATATCTTCAGATATGAAGATGAAGTATTTGGGGATTCAGAAGGAGAACTTGATGAAGGTGAGAACTGTACACACAGAGTTTCCAAGTGTAGAGCTTTCAGAACTGTCCAGAGAAGATGGAAAGACGCAAACTGTATTACATTCTCACGGAGCACAGTAATTGGGGAGCAGGCGGAGGCAGGGAGTGTAGGTTATGTTGCTGGAACTATCTGCTGGTCCAAAACATTCTGTGAAATGAAGGTCATGTAGTCGTATCTTATTCCTTGAAGGGCTGAACTGGCTGAGGGTGGGTGAGGCCTGGCAGAGAATGGAAACAATGAGCGATAGTAGTTTTGCTGCCGCTCGTTTCATCAGGTAGACTTGATTTCTCTGATCAGTTGAGTTTTTAGGTAAAGCAATTTGAAGAAAACATCTAAATTGGCTTTTCACATATGACATGTAATTCACTTTCATATCATGATCACATTCAGTAATTCATTGCTATTCAGGGACTGAACTTAACCTGGATGGTTTTTTTTCCCCTCTGTTCCCGGAGGCAAAGCCAATCAGAGTACAGCCAGAATGTATTTTTTTCATCTCAGTTCTGTGGAACAAAGCATCTTAGGCAATCTTAGGTTAATCTTCTTAGTTTTAGGTACTGAGATTTATGAGCTAATAGTGCAGTCTTTTTCTTTTACTGCCACCATATCAAAAACATCTGCTGCTTTAAAAGACCCTCGAACCTGCTGCCAGAACTTCCTAGCAGCAATACATCTCTAGTTTCTCCTTTTTATGAAAATAGTAAGAAACAAAGCTTCTTGAATGAGTGAAAGGGTCTTCTATCTTTTCTTGCAGCTAACTTGCCTAATTTTGTTGATGAAGCTTTATTTCGATTACTTCTAGTTTAATATGCTTTTATTTTAAGTGCAGCTTGTATATGCATGCCGAGTTGTTTAAGGAAGTTTTTCTTTTTGTGTCAGAGTCTGAAGAAGAGGTGGAAGAGGAGCAGGAGGAAAGACAACCATCACCTGAACCTGTGCAAGAGAATGCAAGCAGTACTTACTATGAAAACCATCCTGTAACGTAAGCAAGTCTGTTTTACTCTATGAAGTTGTTTTTTTAACAAAAACAACAGAATTCCTTTGGCTTTGGATTCTGGATGTGATTTAACAGGTGGTTTAGGAAATGACACTTAACTTGATAGGATCTATGCTATGTTAACGTTACAGTATTTTGAAGCATTGCTTCTTGAATGGAGAGAGGAAGCAGGGGATGTTCTTATGTTTGTTACTTATTTTCACCTCTAGTTTCAAGTGTGAAGTGAAAAGGTAGAGAACAGTGATTTCACGTTTAGTGGAGCCTTTGTTATATAAACTTATGACAGCAAGTTGATCTGATGTAATTTATGTGAACACTTGGGTTAACAAAGGGGTGGTTAATGATAGGTTACTCCAAATTTGGGTAGAGGAAGGTCTACTTTTTAAGAAGTTGCTGTACAGCTGTATTGGAAGCATAGGCCTCTGTCCTGAGTGTCTTAAAATCTAAACAAGATTAAATAAAAAAGTTTTATGTTTTTATAAGGAAAATACATTTTATTACAACAAACAAAATAAAAAAACCCCACGAACACAAAGAAACAGACAGCACCAAAACCCCGTGCTTTGTTTGAAACATAGGAATGCCTTTTAAAGGGCCAGAACTGACTTCCTGGTTTCCTTGTTAAAAAAAACAAAGCATTTACAGTGTCACAAGATGAAGTCTGTTAAGTGCAGCAGTGGTAACGGTAAATGCTGGTTATGTAATGCTTTTCATGAGAGATCTTCTGGAAGAGAGGAGTCTGCTGGAATGCTGGCAGTGACTTGCTCAAGATAATGCAGGAAGTTTTTGGTGCCTAAAAGCATTAAGTCAGGTCTTGGTTTTGGGTTACTCTGCCAATTGGAGAGAAGTAGCAAAGGCAATGTTCATCAGATGGTCACGTAGGCATATGCTCACCTGTGGCAGGAGCTGGACAGGCAGATGCATTTGCTATTTGGTAAGCTTTTGGGATGGCTGAAGAGAGAAGTGAAGATCTTCAGATCCCTTATATTTTGAAAGCAGAGAGTAGAGAAGAAGTTGCATGTGATTGTCAGTAAACAAGACTCACAGCTCCTTTGGTCAGGCAGGAACTTGTTTGGCATTTTTATAAAGCTGTGACTTTCATTCCAAAATTGGCTTCGTTTATGTGTATAGCTTGATCTTCCACTGGTCTCTCACTGTGTTTCTAGTTGTTTAGGAGCAGGAGTTCTTGAGTTTAGCACCTATTCCTTACAGGGTTTATACATCTGTGTGATTTTCAGATTCTCTGCA